AGACTCAGGTGAAAACAAGGCCTGTCTGCACTGCACGCTGGGTGCACCATTTCACCGCACTCTTGGGTCCCCTCCACCTACAGGGGCTTCTCCCTCGGCCCATAGGGTTGTTCTTCCCTCTTTGTCATCGTCATCACCTGGGAGAGCTCACGGCCCTCCTGGGCAGCAGTTACCCTCCTGTGCTGGGCACAGTGCCCGCACAGCTAAGCCTCACTGCCTCCATTGTACAGATGTGGATACTGAGGCTTGGAGACAACAAGGGACTTGCCAAGGTCCCACTGACAGCGGGTGGTACAGTGTCCTGGATTCAAGGCCAGATCTGGTGACACCCCCAGCTGGCCTCCTGTGCCCCCTTACTGGCTACCTCAGCTGCCACCTGCAGACTGGCCTCTGGCAGCAGGTGCGAGGCAAGCCAATGGGGACAGGGTGCTAATTCAAGGTCGCAGGCAGAGCAGCTGTTCTTTGAGGCCCGGTGGCCTGGGGCCACGCTGCTCTTATGTTCCTGGGTAGATAAAGTGCTCTACTTAGGAGAAGCTCTCTCCCGGCTGCAGGGCCATTAGCTCGCTGACTCCTGGAAAAACCATTTGGCCAGCGCTGACAGATGTGGCCATTACACAATCACTTAGCCCCTCTCCCTGCCCCATCCAGACCTTTGGAGGGGGAGGGGCCTCGAGGCACGCAAAGCCCTGGGGAGGGTCCACACAATTCACTTTCCTGGCCACCCGCCTCCTTTCTGCCCTTAGGCTGCATTTTGCCTGGCCCACGTTGCTACAGCAGGAAGCGGCTTCAGACAGCGTGGTTGCCGTGTGCTGCCGATGACCTTGTCATCCTGAGAGTTGTCCACAAACTGCCTTCAGGTGCATCCTCTCCCTTGATCCTCGCAAGAACCCTACGAAGTCAGAATTAGGATAATTATTCCCACTGCACATTTAAGAAATGAGCCACCGGAAGGTTAGACAGCTTGCCCAAGGTCACCCAGCCAGTAGAAGGGGTTGACCTCAGGCCTCGGATTCCCAGGTCTGTGGTGTTTCGCGCGCCCCATGCTGCCATCACCCTGTTGGGATGCTACCTTGTGTTGGGAACTCAAACAGCCTCAGAGCAGGGTCTCCAGCGCCAGGGGTAGGGTAAGGGCTGCTCCTGTCTGCCAAGTAGAGGCGTCAGGCGCCAGAGTCTGCAGCCTTGCCCCCTAGCAGCAACTTCCCATTGGCAGAGCCTGGGCGGCCCCTGACCTGGAGGCCCCAGCTTGGGTCATTTCATCCTACACCTCCCATGCTCTCTGGACCCTTTACTCAAGCTGGATGAGTGCCTCTACCACCCGTGTGTCCCAGGCAGGGCTTCACAGCCATTCAACAGCTGGCAAACCTCCTCTTCCCACCAGCAGCACAGGCATCTCAGCATAGAGGTTGCTGTGACATCTGGGGCACCCAACTGATCCAGGCCAGGGTTCCACAGCCGCAGCCCCAGCACTGTCTGACTATACGCCCGGGTCCCTGGCCCTGCATCACAGCCAGGCTGCATCCAGCAGAGTCAGGGGAACCAGGGGCTGGTGGGAGGGGGCAGTGCCCACGTCCTAAGGAAGAGCACTAAAGAACAACGGCCCATCTCCTGCACAGAGCCAGGCTCAGAAAACAAGCAGTTTTGCACAGCAGCGGCAGTCCTCCCAGCTCAGAAGCCGGAGAGCAGAAGGCAGACAGCAGCAGCAAGGGAAGACTCAACCCTAAAGCCCAGCCTCCAGTGACCTGTCCGAGAGAGCGCAAAGAGAACACCCAAGATGTTCCTAGGGTACCCAGGTGACGCTGCTCTTCACTAAGATACCCCGCTTTGCCTCCGAGTGACTCAGAGAAAGGTGACTTAAAATTACACATACAGGTAGGGGGCGGCTCTTTTCTCTAAAATGTCCTTCCTGGTGGATTAGGGATAGATCTTGGTTTATCCAAACCGATCACCCTGCCTCCTGCCGCGGGACTGAGGGAGCATATGGGCCTGGCTTGGCCAGGAGAACAGCTCGTGCTGGGGGAAAGGATGCTCCTCTCCACACAAAGATGGCAGACCCCTGCAGCCTAACTCCCCAGCACTTAGCTCACTACCCACCTCGGATAGCAGAGGGCAGTGCTGGGGCCCTGGGGGTCCAAATCCTGAATCGAGCTTTATTGTCACTGGGAGGGGGTTCTAGACAAGGACAGGCGCCGAGGATGGCTCAAGGGGATCTCTGGGGTGTTGCACAGCCCCAGAATCCATGAGCTTCTTGGGTGGAGAGTCCAGGAACACCCCCATGATTTATGTTTGTACACAAGCTCACTGCCAAG